GTACTTCTACAAAGCAGTAAGAAAAGAAAAAGGAGAATGTGTAAGATGCAACCAAGTAGTTAAAAGATGAAAACCAAATGACCAATAAAAACATGCTCAACACACTAGAAATTAGGGAATGCTGAACAAGACACCAGTGTGTCATAGCATAACCACCAGAGTGGCAATAATTAAAAGTTTAGACAGTGCTGAGTGTTGGCAAAAATCCAGGCTGCTGCAGGGAGTGTAAATTGTCACAACCACTCGAGGGAGGACTCTGGCAATATTTAACGAAGCAAAAGGTGCTATGTTCAACTCCCCTCCTGGGCATAAATTCCAGGGCAGTGCTCCCAACAGTGGGTAAGAGCTTAATGCTGTAGCCCCCAAGACAGCTGGGTGGGGCCTGGGGAGTCCAGAGCCTCCTCATTTACCAGAGTAAAAATATGACTGTCTACGTGTGCCATGACATGGTGAGGGCAGGAGGCGATTCCCTGGAGAAACGCACATGCGCACAGGGAGAGCGTTCAAGGACCGCAACATTCCTGAGAGTGAACACTGGAAACAATCCACAAAAGCACCCACAGAATCGGGCTCCCTCAACTGCCATGTATTTCTAGAATGCAACACTCCACCCCCGGACGTGTTTCATCTAGAGCTATTTACTCATGGCTTGATCTCGCAAGCACAATGCAGAGCAAGCAAAAGCAAAACGGACCCAAACAATACGGCACCATTTAAATAAAAACACACCAACAGTACATTGTTTGAGGACATAAATAGCTGTGGTAAAAGTAACACCTGGAAAGATCAATACCTGTGGTTCTCAACCCTGGCTCAGGGACAGAGTCACCTGGAGAGTTCTTTCAAGTCCAGGTGTCCCAGCCACACCTGGCCCAATTACACCTGGCTCTCTGTACTAGGACCCAGGCACCAGTACTGAACTCCTCAGGTGACTCACTGTGTAGCCAAGGTTGAGAGTCACCTAGTGACCCCAAAGTCAGGCTAACGGTTACCTCTGGAAGGGAGAGAGGCCCATCAGTGCAGGTCATGCTTTGTGCCTGGTCTGACTGGTGGCACAGGGGAGTCTGTGATATCATTCACAACTTAAAAGCTCTCAGGGTACTTCAGAGTTTTACAAGACAGCATTATCGTTTAAGGCAGAAGAGCCAGAGATCTCAGGGAAACTCCCAGGTACTGCAGTTTTCCCACAAATTACACTGGCTTCTGTTTTCCAGAGAACATGCTGATAAGATGAATGACTCTCTCTCTTCAACCTGGAGTATACACTCCCTCGTTCCAAAACCATTAGCAAGAGACGAGAAACCACGAGGTGGGGGTGGGGAGTGAACACTGTACCAAGCAACAGGGATGAAACAGACAACTACAGGTGAATGCTAAATGGAACTCTTAGTACAAAAGGTGTTTCCTAACTTCATGGACCAATGGCGATGTAAGAAAAGCTCAGGTAAAAATTCTAGCACTGTAACAACTGAACCTTGCTGGGAAAGGATCTGGGAAAGGCCTGCTCACTGCCGCGGTGTCCTCATCTTCTCACCACCCTGCGGGGCGGGTAGCGTGGAACCGCCCCACCCTCACCCGATGACCAAGGCGGGCAGCCCCTCTCTGACATGCCTCTTCTGACACTGCACCCCGGACAGGACTAAAGCCATAATTCACAGTTTCCATTTATTGAGTTCTCTCAATGTATCAGGCACTAATGGGCTTTCTAATGTCCTCATTTAATTCCAGTAACAACTCGGCAAAGCAGTATCATTCACAATTGGGAAATGAGGAAAGAGACTCAGAGAAAAAGTCACTTGCCCAACGTCACGTTACCAGTAAATGGCAAACAAGCCAAAATTAGCACAATGCCTGACATATAGAAATAGCTCCATAAACGCTGACTGTTACCACGTGGCACAGCCAGGTCTCAAACTGAGATCTGGCTGACTCCAACACCCAAGTTCTTCTCTGTTTAGCAATGACACGCACACGGTACAAAACACGAGCAGGCAGAAGGCAAGGAAGGAAAGGGAGACTATTCCACTCACCCTTGACCCTGGGTCCCCTCTCCTGAAGCAACCACGTTCTTGGGCATCCTTCAGAGATTTCTAGCAACACAATACATACACTGTTGAGTACTTTCAAAGCCGCTGTTCTTTAATCAGCAAGTGCTACTGCTGGTTTCACTTACCCGGCTGAGCTGCACTTGCGTTTCTGCCTGTTTGTAGCAAACTTCACTGCAGCTGTCAGGCTCCCAGCCCAAAGGCCAGGGCGAAGCTGTAAGATGCAGGAAGTCTACCCCGACTGACAGACCAGAGGGTGTACTTGCGGCAACATGTAAGCAGTGGGTCAGGCTGTGTAGCGTTCTCTCCAAGGGCTAACAGGACGGCCCTGCCTGGCACAGATGATGGCTGGAAGACCAGATACCCAGCCTAACAGCCCAGGCCCTTCACTGGGCCCCTGAAAAAGCTTTGGTGAAGTTGGTGGTTGAGCCAACGATCTGGCCTGGGAGCTGGGCCCGCATCAAGCCCCGGACAGATGGTAAAAGCCAATAGTCCTGGGTTCAGGGGCTTTACCTTTCTAGCCTCACAGTTTTTAAAAAAGCATTTCAACTCTGTCAGGTGTGGATTCCTCCCTTGGCATGGTAACAACAGTAGCCACCCCTCAAAGGGTTACGGTGAGGATTAAATAACACCCATAAAATGCCATGCTGTGAACTCTTCCTAATGATACGAAGGGGCTGGGGCTCTAGTGATGTGAAACAAGCTGAAGTTTGGAGTGTCAGAGATGACACGGTGTCCCCAGAGAAGCTGGGCTTTTCAGGCAGCGCTGGGCAAAGGACATTTCTTAATCTCTTAGGAGGCATTTAGAATGTGAGCAGTCCCGTCGGTACCACTCACACACTTTGTCCAGCTGGGAGTGAGGGAGCTTGAGGATTCTGTCTCTTGTGATTCGGCATTAGGCCACCAAGGCAAGGGCTTTCCAGAAGAGGCTTCCACTTAGCTTTCAAACAACTCAGCTGCTTTCCCTGAGCACCCCACCCCCCAAGACTGGGTAGGACGGAAGAAAAACCACAACAATCCTGGGTTCTCAGATAATGCCAGTTTCCTCGTGCAGCTGGGGTGCTATTGTCTTGATTTCCACAAACACTCCCGGGCAATGTGGGGTGTGGCACAGCAAAGGGGACCCTCCCACTCATAAAAAGCCAAGTGTTTTCTGGTGAGACACAGATGGCAGCTCTGGGGCTCCAACTTCACGTCATTGCTGCTTGACCAGAAACCTGAGCTCATGGGAAGCCCAGGAAGGCAGAACCTGAGCGCTGCAGTGTGGCCCTCCCAGGACACAGCAGGAGACGCCCTACCCAGGGGGCAGCCTAAGCCTCAGCCCTCTTAGAATCAGAGGATGGCCTGTGGCACACCAGGCTTAGGTCCCCAATCCCACCTGCTTGTGCCAAAACTCACTCACCCTCCCACATCAATGTCCCTAGAAAGATGGGGCGTTAGCACAGAAGGCCAGTCTCAGAAACGGGTCCAGTAGGGTCAACCAGGGCTGTGCTCCAGCCTAGTCTTAAGCAGCCTCAGGCCAAGGAACGTAGGATGGGGATATTTTAAAACCTCAAGTGACCTGTCTGTAAGCCCAGCCAAGTAAAGATGTACCCCCTTGCCAGTTGCTCTTTCATTGTTCCAGGCAGGTAGGAACTAGTTATGGCAAGACCACTTTAACCAATTCTTTGCATTTTACTAATATGACTTTTCACAAGAAAAAAAAATATGCACTGAATATACGTGTATCAAATACTATGTGTCAACAGTCCCACAAGGTGGGTGTCATTGTGCCCTTTTTACCAGATGAAGAAAATGAGACATCAAAAGGTGAAGCCACCAGGTTAGGATCACCAGACACTAAATGGGGAGCTGGGACGCAAATTCAGCTCCTGGAGCCTTTGCCAAGACCCCATCCTAAGATGACGAGGGTCCAGAGAAAAGGCTTATGCCCAGGCTTGAGCTTCACTCTGAAGGCACAGAATCACTGCAGAGATAACTGGAAGGGACCAGCTAGGGTAGCTAGTCCAGCCTCCATGTTATAGGTAAGGAAGCTGAGGCCTGGAGTGGGGAAGTGACTTTCTCAAAGTCACACAGCAAATCAACACTGAAGTCAAGACGGCACGAATCCCTGTCCAGCTGCCTCCTACTCAACTTCAGGTGTTGGCTTAAATGTCACCTCCTCAGATAAGCCTTCCCTGACCACATCCCCCAGACTAGATCCTGGCTCCCTGCACACCATGGTAGCACTGAGCACAACTGCAAGTCTGTACCCGTGTGTACACCTGCCCATTTACTGTCAGTCTTCCAGACTAGACTGAAGCCTCCAACCACAAGCATGTCCCCAGCGCCTGGTGCAGCATCTCGAATGCACGACCAGAGGCAGGCACTGGCGGGGTGGGCTTACCTTCGCTGTCGGTGAGCACTTCCATGCGCCCACTGAACATGGCCTTCAGCATGGTGTCCTGCTTGGTAAGCGTCTGCATGGTGGTGTAGTAGAGGGCTCCGCCCACATTCAGCTTCACGTATTTGGAGCTGGGGCTCGTGCCCTTGAAGGAGGTGGTGCGGGTAGCAGCCGCTGGCACCGCTGAGCTCACCACACTTTCTCCTGACATCTCTTCCTGCCAGTGGAGAAGACACAGGGTCACGACACCAAGCCTGGTTGACCTCTTTCAGCCTGTGGGCTGATTCTGGCCTCCAGATGTGTTTTGCTTGGTCCGAGTACATATTGCATTTAAAACTTAAAGTTTGCTTCCAATGTTGACGACTCAGGAAAGCTCACAAAAAAAATCTGGATTTTTGACTTCTCTTAAAATCAGAGGCCAACTGGGCCAGCAGGAAAACAAATAGTGGAAGCTGGGGTACTGGCTGCTCCCCGAGAAGGGCATGTATCCCAGATTGTCCCAAACCCCACCCAGAAAGCCTCATACACTGATCTCGCCCGCTGATCCTGTAAGGCCAAGTTTGCCACTAACTTCTGTGTCACAAGGACTTCCTCTGCGCCCAATACCTATATTAACAAACACCTTGGCTGCATCTGAAAACAGTCCACAGCACTGCCCAGGTCTCTCTATGCTTCCTTACTGCCATGTACAACTGAACAGGTAAGTGGTTGAATCAAAGACGAAATAAGCTTTTATAAGTTGAGTGGGATCCCAGCCTACACTGCTAAAACTTCCTATGGGGGGAAGTGTTTTTGGGGACTAAACAATAGACAGAAATCCTTGCAAGTTACTGCCAAATTATACTTCTTATACTAGTGCCCCAAATAGCAAGATCCTGTGACAGTCTGCGCAACAGCACCACCTGGCATATGTCCCAAGCCAAAGAGATAGACGTAGTGTCTGATTTAAGCAGGACTGGGAAAGGAGACAGGCGTCTGGCACATATGTGCCCAGAGAAAACATTTCTTGAATGAATAGGTAAAACCGTAGAGCTGGAGAAGATGTCCAAGAGTGGGTGGAGTCTTTGCTGAATGTGGGTCATGGCACTAAGAACTAAGCGAGAACAGCCAGGAGCCCAACAGCCAGGAGCTGGCCTGGCCCCCACAGCTAGGCCGCAGTGTTCTCACTGAACACGAAAAATGTCACAGCACACCCCCATCAGACAAGGCCACTCTGTGGCCATGTTGCAACAAGACAAAAATAATCACATCTGAACACAGACAAAAACACAAACATTATCCAAAACACAAAAATGACCCAGCATTCCCCTGCCCTGGCTAACATGAGTTACTGCGGTTTCTTCACCAACTGGAGCTTTAGCCTCATTCCATTCTTTCTGCCTTCAAGACAGGAATCGCAGACACCCAGCCACAGAATTAGCCCTGTTTCCAGGCAGCATCAACACAGCAAAGCCCCACTTCTCTGAACGCTCCTCCAAATCACCCAACACAAGCCCAAATCCTTTCTGAGACTTCCCACCGTTTTCCCTCAATAGGACAAGGAAATAAACCCAGCTCTGCCTGACTACAGGTATGCTTGTCGTGGTTCTGGCTAGAGGGCACTGACTACACGTAACTTATTGAACGAGTCCCTGAAACTGAAGGAGGATTATTTTTAAATTTTTCGTGCCTATCTTCTCCAGATTTTCCACGATGACTATATTACAATTACAATCTATAAAACACATTTTAAATGGGACAGGGACAAAAGGGTGGCAGCCCACAATACCAGAGGCAGTGACTTAGCGAAAGTCAGGGCAATGTTCAATTCCAGGTTATCCAACTCTTCTGGCCAAGCCCCCTGCCTCCACCTCCCACCGAGTGAGCGGCCTGGACGTGGCCTGCTGGGGGACTTGGGTCAGGGCCCCGCGGGAGTCTCCTGGAAAGAAGTGTTTTCTCAAGAAACTGTTCCTGCTTCAGCAAGTAAAAACACCACAGGGAAGTTTTCAAAAGCTCAGGCTTAGCTCACCTGAGGTCGCTGTGGCCTGACACAAAGGAAAAGAGGCCAAGAGGAAGCGGTTTCCCCCACCCTTCTGGCTTTCCTTTGAAATCAGTCCCCCCAACCACCCCCCGCCCCCGCAGTTATCACCCACCATTTCCCCCAGAAAAACCCTTTCTTCAAGGGATGAAAGAAGAGGCTTATAGAAACAAAGCATTTCCAAAAACTTTGAAGATCTGGAAGGGGGTGGGGGAGGGAAAGACTTTGAGTCGTGTTTTTTTTTGGGGGGGGTATTTGTTAAGGAAATTATCCCCAAATGGAAATACTTTAAGCACCCTTTTTTACACCTAAATTTACCCAATAAATATGTTCATGGGAAATGGTCTAGCATTTTGTAAGGCACCTACCATGAAACAGACAAAAAAGTACATAAAGTATACCCTCATGCACAGTCATGTGTAGCTTAACAGGGATACATTCAGAGAAATGTGCCGTTAGGCAGTTTGTTCATTGTGGGAACATCATGGAGCCAACTTACACAAACCTGGATGGTATGTCCCACTATGCGCCTAGGCTATATGGTGTGGCCCATTGCTCCCAGGCTACGAACCTGCACAGCATGTTACTGTACTGAATACTGTCGGCAATTGTAAGACAATGGCAAGTATGTGTATCCAGACGTATCTAAACATAGAAAAGGTACAGTATAATTACTGCATAAAAGATAAAAATGTCACACCTGTATAGGGCGTGTACCATGAATGGCACTTACAAGACTGGACGTTGCTCTGGGTGAATCATGGAGTGGTGAGTGAATATAAAACCCTAGAAGATTACTGTATACTACTGCAGCCTTTAACACACTGTACACTCAGGCTACACTAAATTTATGAAAAAAAAGTTATTTCTTCAATAAATTAAGCTTAGCTTACTGTAACGCTTTACTTTATAAACTTTAATTTTCAATGTTTTGACTCTATTGTAATAACGTTTAGCTTAAAACACATTTTTTACAGCTGTTCAAAAATATTTTCTTCCTTTATATCCTTATTCTATAAGCTTTTTCCTATTTTTAAATTTTTTTTGTTAAAAACTAAGAGACACACACGCTAGCCTCAGCCTGTACAGCGTCAGGATCATCAATATCACTGTCTTCCACTCCCATGTCTTGTCCCACTGGAAGGTCTTCGGGGGCAATAACATGCATGGACCTGTCATTTCCTACGGTAACAATGCCTTCTTCTGGAATACCTCCTGAAAGGCCTGCCTGAGGCTGTTTAAAAAAGTTAACTTTTTAAAAAATAAGTGCAAGGAGCACACTCTAAAATAATGATAAAAATATAGTATAGAAATACACAAACCAGTAGCAGTCCTTTATTTTCATTATCAAATATTATATGTTGCACATATTGTATGTGCCGTACTTTTATACGACAGGCAGCGCAGGTTTGCTTACACCACCATCATCACAAACACATGGGTAACGTGTTGCTACACTATGCTGCCGCAACTAGGTGATAGGAATTTTAGTTACTGTTATTATAATCTTACGGGACCACCACGGTATATGTGGTCTGTCATTGAATGAAACATCACTATGCGGCACAACTGTACTTTTTATGGCTTTCTAATACTTTTTAAGGATCACCTGCACATAATAAGTACATTTTAAGTGTACAAGTTGATGAGTTTTGCTTAATCCATGCACCTGGGCAGCCCCCCTCCAATCGAGACAGAAACCATTTCATGGCTCCAGAAGGCCCTCCCTGACCCTTTATCACTGAATTTCTACGACCATATGACTTTTAAAAATCCAAACAATGCTGGAAGGCAATTTCTATTTTGTGGATTCAAATACCACGCCCTAGAGAGGGTCAGTCGCTTCTGAAAGCCAGGAGGTGAGTCAGTAAGGGAGCAACGAATGACGTGGGCAAGTCCTGGCTGGCCCGGAGCCCATCATGGGTGGTATATTTAGAGCTTTGACGTATTAAGTTGAGAAAGGAAGGACAGCCTCACCTCTCTTCTTTAAAAAGTACAAAAAGCCTTGAAAAAAGACAGGAGGTAATGTGTGGTTAAGGGTGTGGGAATCAGATCTATGTTTAAGTCCCCAGCCCTGCCACTTAGTAGCTGAGAGTGCTGGGCAAGATATCTGAATCTAGTCCCATCCACCAAACGGGACACAGCCTTGCCTCCCGTGTAGTACTCAGCACCAGCCCCTGGCTCAGAGGAAACATTCAAATTATGACGATTTGAGAATGCTCTCAAAGTCTCAAATTATCTTCTCCTCTTTGGAAACTATTTCCAGCTCTAATGACACACTGAATTACTAAGAGACAAAGGCAGAAACCACCATCCTGATCTAGCATGAGACTGCAGATTGGGCAACAAAAGGTCTCAATCTTTCCCGGAGCCCACCTCCTGCAAACGTCAGTCAACCCAATACTAGCAGAGGTCCTTGGAGAAAAAGTTTTGGCTGTGTTCACATCCCTGAGCCTAAGTTACAGTGCGCTGAGGGCACAAAGCAGATGACAATAAACCTCTCCCAGCTGTCTCTACTGAGATCCTGCTTTTTGATTTGTTTCAAAGGTTTGATCTCATTATGAATGAAGTTGGGGAGGTGGGGCAGGAGTGTGCAAAACTGGTTACACGAAACAGAGGTAATTCATACTTCAGATATTGGTTACAGATTTTATTCAACCGGAAGTTTATTCCAGTTAGATGTGTAAGTCTAGGCGTCCCTCCTTCCCATCTCCCCTGAATATACTGTTGCTGATTTTACTAAATAAATAATGGCTTGAGGCCAGGCATGGTAGCTCAGGCCTGTAATCCCAGCACTTTGAGAGGCGGGAGAATAGCTTGAGGACAAGAGTATGAGACCAGCATGGACAAAATACTAAGACCCCCGTCTCTACATAGAAAAACAGTAAGAAAAATTAGCTGGGCATGACTGTGCATGCCTGTAGTCCCAGCTACTCAGGAGGCTGATACAGGAGGATCACTTGAGCCCAGAAATTTAAGGCTGCAGTGAGCTATGATTGTGCCACTGCACTCCAGCCTGGGCAATAAAGCAAGACCCTGTCTCTAAAAATTACATAAATGGATAGATACTGGCTCGATACTTGATAGCACACTCTTGTCACCTGGGAAGGTTAAAAGTACTGATGCTTGGCTCTTACCTGTGAAAATTCTGATATAATTGGTCTGGGGTGTAGCTGAGGCAGGAGAAGTTTTAAAACTCCCCCAGGTGATTCTAACGCTAGCCAAAATTACAACCCACTCTTCTCAAAGTATTATACCCCTTAATTAGGCTTAATTAACTCCATGGTCTTGGCCCAGTGAATTCCTGACTGACCCATACCTAAAAACAAACCAAAGCACTATAAACAAAAGTAAGCCCCCACTTCACAGCTTCAGAGCCACAGGCAGGAAGCAACTGTATGCATGTTTGAAAAAAATAAAAATCAGCTGAAGGGGGAAAATCTTCGACTTGAAAGGAGACCCAGGCAAGTACAGTAGAAAAAAGGGCACCAAATCTCTGAGCCTATATTTTCCATACACTTCTTTATAAAACTGTCTCATTTGTGTGTGTGTGTGTGTGTGTGTGTGTGTGTAAAGAAAACTAGATTGAGAGTCTGGCAAACCAGGACTACAATCCAGTTCCACCACTTCCTGCAAGATGTTCAAGCAATTTAACCCAAGTCTCGGTTTCCTAACTTGTAAAATGGAGTGTTAAAGCCATAATCTTCAAAATAACCCTCAGGGAACCTGCACCTTGTTCCTTTGTGTAGTTTCCCTTCCGTGCTAGAATCACGGGGGTGTGCTTAAGAAAAAACACTGGTGCCTGTCTGGGCTATACCCCAGACCAATTAATCAAAAAGGGTGGCTGATAAGTCACTAGTACTCAAAAAGCTCTTCAGGTGATTCAGGGCTCAATGCCACTCACCTAAGGTGTTTGTTTAACCAGCTTGATCTAAGAATTACCAGCAAAAACATCAGCTCAGGGGATTCTTATAGCAGAGAAGTTTAAAAAACACTGCATTGAGGCTAGTGTTTTTCCCCAAACTGAGAGCATTTCTACAACTCAAAAAAGTCTGTTTCATTTCAACCAAACTAAATCATATCAGCCATATAATTATAGCATTATTTTGCACCCAAAATTTGCTTATAAAACAGCTACTGCTAATTCCCAGTATTCCAACAAATGACATTCTCTTCTTGTGTTCAGCTCACAAACTATTGGCCTATTTCTCTCAACAGTCTAGTAGGAAGATGTTTATCATCATTCCCACTTTTTAGGGGAGAAACCTAAGAATCACAACTATAAGGGCCCTGAGTCCAACTCTCATATTCCTTTCATTACATAGACCAAATCAAGAAATCATTACTCGAAACCCCTACAGATGGATGGTCCCACCCCCTGACTGTATGATACAGTAGTCTACGGTACAGCTTAAATATATGACCTTTTTAAATTTTTTTTCCCTAAAGAGATGGGGCCTGTTTCACTATGTTGCCCAGGCTGGCCTGGAACTCCTGGGCTCAAGTCATCCTCTGGCCTCAGCCTCTCCAGTAGCTGGGACTAAGGTGCACTGCTCCCAGCTTGACTATTTTTATTAAGTCCCCAGGTGACGCTAATCCTGTGGGACCACGGTTTGAGAACCACTGGTTTATAGCACCTTCTACCCTTCAGGTGGTCCTTATTTTGCACAAAATGGAGCAGACCAGTCAGCTACAGGTTGACTCATTTTTCTTCAGTATTGTTGGGACTGACCTTCCCTAAAGACTGAACTTTCCGGGGAAGTGACAAACAAGCAAATAAGGAGAAAGAAGATCCGGGATGATCTTTGGTCATTCCCACCCAGGTACAAAGAGCCATTCAACTAACAGACCCTTGAGGCTCCCAAGCACACAAATCTTCCCACAGCTAAGAGACAGCATGTGAGACATCCTCCGCTCCTTAGACTTGGCCACCTCCGGCCTTAGCGGAAGTGACCAGATATGTACCTAGGCACTAAGCTACCTGACCTCAGGCCGCTGGCATCCCTCCCCGGAATTCTAAGCACGGAACGCAAATCCGCCTGCTAGCTCCATTTCTTTCTTCCGTTCGCGCGTGTGTTCAGACGCACCTGGGAGCCCCTTCCCCACTTCCACGAAACACAGCGACCCCAGCCACCCCAACCACAACTTTCAAAACCCCAAACGCTCCGCCCCAAGGAATCCCACTTCACCTTCTCACAACCTACCCATTCTCCTTCGCAATCCTCCAAATCCTCATTTTCCAGCCCAAATGGCTATTTTCAATGATATTTCTTTGTTCTCCTCATAATCACCGACTCCTGTCTCCAACGAGCACCCAAGACTCAGGGACGTCCCGCTCACCCACACTCAAATTTACTCCCCAAGCCCAAATGCCCTTTCCCGGATTCCTAACTGTCAGGAACCCCCCACTCACCCCTGTTCTCCACCCAAAGCCCTTCCCCCACCCCTGGCCTCGCCCCCATTCAATCCCCCAATTGCCTCTTCACTATCGCGACTGCCCCTCAACGTACCCCCTCTTTTCGGTCCCTTCCTCTTATACTCTGCTGCTGCCCAGCTCCCTCGGCCGCCCAGAGCCCCCCGCCGGTGGGCACCGCCCTCCTTACCATGAAAAGTCGGAGGACGCCGGAGTCTCCAAACCCGGACTGTGAGAGTCAGGAAACACCCAGCTCACGCGAGCCGGGGGCGGAGGCGGAGCCGGGGCGGGAACTTCCGCTGCCGCACCCCACTTCCGCCCCTCAGAGGGCCCCTCTTTAAAGCATCCGCTGTGCCTGTAGATATCGGCTGCTTTCCTTCAGTTCTCCCAGGCTAGTATGGTTTCCGGCTGCTCTCGGCTGGATCAGGCATTTATTTTTCTCCGCTTTTTTAGCTGCCAGAGGGAGAGAATGGTGCAGGGAAATTTTCTTTCCCGGGCGAAAAAACTCTGCGGAACTGTCGTTTCCCAGAACTAGATGCTTGCTTACAAGCGGAGTTCTGAAAGTGAACACCCCGGGGCAAGATGGCGGTCTAGCTTCAGCCGCTGCCCCGGGTCTGCTCGGGGGTTTTGGGCTGAGACGGCTGCAGCTACGGCCCCGACTCCGAGTACTGGGGCCTCGAGCGGATAAAGGTCTACGGCCTGCGGTAGCGAGTGGGAGCAGGGTCGTCTGTTCTCCGGGTGGCGGGGCCGGGGACTTGGAGGGAGGTGGCTCTGGGGCCGAGTCCCCCCTGGCCAGGTCGGAGGGGCAGGTGCTGGGGGCTGGTTTTCGTGCCCCAGGGGTCTCTCCGTGGCCCTTTCCACTTCTTCTCAGCCTTGGGGCGATAGGCCTTTACAAACGGACTAATGCTGGGCGCAAAGGATTTGTTATTGTGGTTGTTGATGCCGAGGACAGACGCCGGGCCTCGGAAGTCACCCAAACTGGAGTTCTAATCCTGTTCGCTTGCTGTGTGACCTTGGGTGAGTTCCCTCACCTCTCTGAGCCTAAGTTTCCTCCTCTGTAAAATGGAGTAATTAGCTGGTTTCACAGAGGGTTTTGCATAATACGTTTAAGTACCCTGCCTGACAGCCCGGAATAAAGAAAAATTTGGTCGTAATTTGACTCCAGCTTAGCCCCACGGTCAGCCTTGCATTCTCGGCTCCTCTTTGCTTTGCGGTTCTGTGGATGGGGGAGCCCTGGATCTTGTCTCTTTTAATTACCAATAAATAATTGCTTTGGAGTTCGACGTGGGTTCAAATTCAGGAGGCTAGCCACCTCCAACAAGTCCTGTCTCTACATTTCATTTTCCCCATGTGAAGGTGGGATTGATAATAGCACCCAGCTAGATAGGCTGTATGTAGCTTCCAATAAATGATAGCTATTGTTACAGTCTTTCTAAGTCCTGTTGTCTATTCTTTAAATAAAACGTAGACCTTTGAGACTTGATAGAGCTCTTAAAAAGACACAGTTAAGTGTCTGTACAGTATCTAACACATGCTCTGCCCTTAAACAGTTGTGGTCATTAAACGGCCCACCTCTTCCCACTTTAAGAATGGAATCGTCTTGGGCTTAGTCAGCAGTTGGTATTTATGTCGCTTTACCTTTGGACAATACTCTCTGGACTGTTGTGTGCTTTTGTAATTCTCTATGAAGTTGGCCTCATCCAGGAAAGACTGATTTTGAGCAAGTCTCATGGGAACATAGGGGTGAAGAGGAGACTGAATCCTGTCC